GAGCTGTTTGAGTGTGAAGGGGAATTTATAAGCATTGCATTCTATTTCCAACACTGCAGGACTACCTAACACCTACCTAATAATAATTGGTAATATGTTACATTTAGTACAACACTGTTACGGCTCTAGACTATGAACATTAAAATCCTTCATAGCTCCCAAGAGTCCTTTACTTTTGCAACCAAGTCCCTCTTCCCTCTTTCCTCCTCAGCTGTTCCTCTGGTCTGATCTATAGACCTCTATAAAAAAAAAGAATGATTTACTAACAGGGTTATTCCAAAAGGGTGAAGAGTTTGGAGAAGGCAGGAGAAGTGAACAATCTAGGACAAAATAGCTGATTTGGAAAAATTCTCCAATTCAGCTCACTTTCCAGTTCAGCTATGTTGTCCTAGATTGTTCCCTTCTCCTGCCTTCTCCTAACTCTTTTGTAAATAACCCTGACCAGAGGGCCAACTGTACGCTAAACCTCTTCTCCAAGCTCTAATCATTATTTTGAAAAGGTCAGTATATAGGAAAATAAGTGGAAAAACAACAACTTAACCATTTTTTCACATTAATTCTTATTGGTGCGTGTATACGGGGGAATGTCTGGGATGTCTCCTTCCCCTATATACAGGTGAAACTCGAATAATTAGAATATCGTGCAAAGTTCATTTATTTCACTAATGCAACTCAAAAGGTGAAACTAATATATGAGATAGACTCATTACATGCAAAGCAAGATAATTCAAGCCGTGATTTGTCATAATTGTGATGATTATGGCTTACAGCTCATGAAAACCCCAAGAACCCCAAATCCACAACCTCAAAAAAGTAGATTATTACATGCAATCAATAAAACAAGGATTGTACATAGAACAATATCGGACCTCTGAAAAGTACAAGCATGCATATGTACTCAGTACTTGGTTTGGGCCCCTTTTGCAGCACTTACTGCAATTACTTTTGCACGATATTCTAATTATTCACCTGTAGTTTGCTCTAAGAATTAATTCACACAGGCAGTATATTTAATCCGTTGATTTGTGCTTTTAATCCCCAACCACCCACCTAGAGTTTTACATAGCGGCTGCTTGGGGTGGTATACATGGCTACGGCGCTTTGCGGCAAATATTTTTTACAGCATGTTGTGTGAGGCAGGTGGTGTTGCTTGCCAAATGCGCCCAATGAAATCAATGGGACTGCGCCACAAGTGCCAAACGCTTAAATACTCCCCTCTCCTGCCATCTGTAATAATGCAAAAACTGCCACCAAAAGAATCTTCAGCTTCTTTGTAGATACTTGGTTTCCCGCTGCACAGGTCACACAGGATGTAGGGGCCGGCAGATCAAACCACTGCATGCCAAGTTAATTTCACAGTCATAGGATACCTTTAGAAGAGAAATTTCAGCCTAAATTCAGCCTATACCATTTTTTTAAATTTAGAGTGATGAAAAATTATAAGTAACCTTTGTAGAGTTTTTTTTATTGCTGTCTGAGGCTTCATTGGGGAGACTTTCCTTCACTTTCTGTCTTTTAATATTGTCACCTGTACAGGAAATGAAGGTAAATCTCCAATGGGGAAAAAAACAATAAACAAAATCTGTCATGGGTTCTAGCCTTCCCATACTATACTAAAAATGTGTTTTTATAACTTCATGAGCATAGGAAATGCTATGCTTCTCCGCTCCATCTAGTGGGCATAATGTTGTATTACAAGCTGACATTAGAAAATACATTTGACATATGACGAAAATATACAAGAACATTTGATTAGTGCATGCACGCACAGAACAAACATTCAAAGGGATTCACAGGGCCAATGGCTCTGTGAATTGTTTTTAAATGGACCCCTAAGTGGGGCAGGGATCAGCAGATACTGGTCCCTGTTGACCATGCAAGTCATGAGGGTCCCTCTAGAAAGGGACTGGGGTGATGGTTCCATTAGTTACCAGACCCAAATGATGGCCTCCCATACCCAATAAAGACAATCGATTCCACTACTGGGGAAGAGGACGGTGGCCAGGATAGGACACTAAGAACCCCTGAAGCAGAACTGGCACAGGGCCTAGTGCAATGCTAAAGCCTGATGAAGGGACCCTGCACGGTCCCGAAAGCGCTTGTTTGGTCATATGACAAGAAACTTCAATAAATGAAGCTTTTGCTATCTTAAAAGGATTGGTGTGCTGGTGACATTTCTACATTTTTGCTGACATTCGCGGCGCCATCCGCGGTCACTGCGAGCACCCCCCACTACAAGGGACAAATCGGTAAGGAGTGCGACAAGGATAGTACTTATTGACTCACCACTGATTATTAGGGAGCCCCCACAGATCCCGCACTGACCACCAGACAGTCCGCATTGGCCACCTCAGAGCCTAGTTAGGGAGCCGCCTCTACTGCACCCACACGCACCCGTGAAACTCTCTGGACCCCTGGTGAGAGCCCGCACAACCCTCCTGAGACCCTGGAGACATCAGGTGGAGAACCCAGAGCAACAGAGTATGTAGCTTCATATTATTCTGCATTGCTGTAATATGTAATATTGTAGTTCTCTATAGCTGTTGGTAGTCATTATTGCTGGGATTTATAGTCCTCTATAGCTGATGGTATTCTGCATTGTTGTGTAATGTATTGCTTGGAATTGTAGTTCTCTATAGCTGTTGGTAGTCATTATTGCTGGGATTTATAGTCCTCTATAGCTGATGGTATTCTGCATTGTTGTGTAATGTATTGCTTGGAATTGTAGTTCTCTATAGCCAATGCCATTCTGCAATGCTGTACAGTGTATTGCTGAGATTTATAGTCCTCTATAGCTGGTGGTATTATTCTGCAATGCTGTACAATGTATTGCTGAGATTTGTAGTCCTCTATAGCTGGTGGTATCATACGGCAATGCCATAACGTATTGTCCTATGCGATCTGCACGATTGCATCCTAAAGGTAGCTCCTCCCCACGGCCCCCACCCGCATAGCATGACATGTCACGGGCTTCCCTGGAGGACGTGAGGCTGTGCGGACGGGTGCCTCACTCACGTCCAGGACATCCGGAAAGAGGCAGACTGGCACGAGGCGAGTACTGACTAAGGCAGGTAGGTGAGAAAATAAAAAGGGAGAAATATAAAGGAGATATACAACTTGGATATCTCCCTGAAAATCTCACTCCATTTCTGTTCTGTCCTTCATATACCTTCATATATATGTGAATAACATGATTGATAGAATTACAATGCATGATAGTAGAAAGCCATGATTAGACATAATTAACATGATTAGATAATCAGACTTAACAGAGACATGATTGTTTGTAATTTGACATGATACAGCGTTTTTGAAGGTTTAACAGAGGAGGAGCCTAGTTTTCTCTCAACGTTTTGCGCTTAGGGGCGCTGTAATGGATGTGGTATATATTCTTCAGGAGAGGGAGGTTGTTCAGGTTAATTATGTCTAATCATGGCTTTCTACTATCATGCATTGTAATTCTATCAATCATGTTATTCACATATATTGAAGGACAGAACAGAAATGGAGTGAGATTTTCAGGGAGATATACAATCATGTTGTCATTTTTTTTTTCTTGGTGGGGGGCCCCGAGAAAATGTTTGCCCAGGGTCCGATCAATATTAAAGACGGGCCTGGTGGGGTCACATACTGATGTTCGATGAGAAGGTGCAGCTTGCAATCAGCATCCCAATTCATGGCAAATGTTTTCAATAGGGTTAGATCAGGACACACGAGTTCCTCCACACCAACCTCATCAAACTATGGGGTCTATTCACAAAAGGGTGAAGAGTCTGGAGAAGGCAGCAATCTGGGACAACATAGCTGAACTGGAAATTGAGCTGAATTGGAGAATGTTTCCAAATCAGCTATGTTGTCCTAGATTGTTCACTTCTCCTGCCCTCTCCAAACTCCTCACCCTTTTGTGAATAGACCCCTATGTCTTTATAGAGCTGGCTTTCTGCAACAAAATGGCTTTGTATGCTGCAGCATTAAGAATACCCTTCACTGGAAAGACCTAAACTCTATAAGTTGGTCAGGTGTCCACACACACTATATTGAAACGGAACCCATCGCACTCCTGACGGAATAAAAAACCCTTTGGAGTTGGGTGGGTGCAAAGAGTGACTACGGATGCCCCTGTGAATCAATAAATGAATGTAGAAAAGGTCACTCGCACTCCAGATTTATTTTCAGCCAATGTTTATTGACGTCTCATCTTGTCACATTGACGAGCACATTGCTTGACAATCTGACACGATGAGAGGTCAATAAACATTGACTGAAAATTAATCTGGAGTGCGAGTGATCTTATCTACATTCACATACTCTATATGACCAAAAGTAGGAGTACTGGTCAGATGCCCACAAACGTTTGGTCACATAGTGTACTATTCACACTAGTTTCTAGTGCTGGAGAGTGCACTGAAACCCAATATATCATAGTTCATTATAATTTACAGTATATAGAAAGGTGTATTGTCCCCACAGTGTAAGAGTGCACAAGCCCCATTCCTCCAATCCCATAGGACGACCCACTGGCCTCCTGTGTGCTGGTAAACCTGTGTAAGATCCACTCCACTAGTATGCCAAAGAAGCAAGGCCCTGTATTGTGAAACAGTTGGACACCCTATGGTGCTCCCTAATGCGTTGTGTAGAATGTTGCACCAATGCTTGTTGGAACTTGTAGCCCACGGGTGGCCAGTTACAGTTGCAATATCTACAGCCTCCCTCCAGCCCAGATCTTTAACAGAGGTAGACGAAGACAGGAGGCATATTTTTATAGCAAAATAAAAGGTACTTGCTGCCATTATTAAAAAAAAACCTAATTCTATAGTGTGAGAGAGCAGAGTTTCAGCTCATTGTGCTAAAGCTCAGCTTTCAATATGACTCTCTTAAATGCTGAGCAATGATGTGCAAAACCCAATATCAGCCAATCAGAAACCACTCGTCATTAATCTGACTTAATACATTTTCTTTCGTATTCTGTACTGACACACGTATTCAATGACAAGGATGGAAGAGAAGTTTATTGTTGATGAAATTTCATTATGGAAAAGGACATTTCTGAAACAGTCTGCATGCAGAGAAATGGCACAATCTTCCACAAGCCGGTAAGACTGGTACTGGAATTGTTCTGTCAGCTAGTCCTGCCCACACAGAAACTATTATTCCATATTGACCATAGCTGGCATAGATTCAGACTGCGTGTGGAGGACAGTCAGGTGGCTCAGCGTGGTTGCTATATACACTTCCTGAGGTATAATTGTGCAGTCGGCCTTGCAGCTAAGGATGGAGGTAGCATTGTTTTCGTGCAATAAGTCTACGGTTCCTGGCACGACAGTCAGGTTCTGGTAGTGACCATTCTCTGTGTAAGTCAGTTTTTCTGCAGGTTTAGATGAATCTTCGCTGTCCTCTTCAGTAAGCTCTGATTTCTGCCCATCTTCAACTTTTGGATCCAGAACGACAAGGAAGGACTTCCAGGGCATGTTTTTATCATGGATCTAAGGAAAAGAGATATCACAACCTTGCTCACTTACATTAGTAATGTCTAAAACACAACATACATACATTACAATCTGCCTGTCCAATATTATCAAAACGATGTAATATGGGGGCCTACTGAATCTATCTGATCAGTATATATTCAATCAGGCCCATTCACTACATTATAGACCTTAATGTTCAGATTTTAATATCTGCGGTGACCTTAACTCAATCCACCAGTTCATAAATCCCCCAAGAATGCTGGGGGGGGGGTTTGGAAAGGGTGTCTTTGCACTTAGAACCCGAGTCAACCCGATCAACTGTTGGCTGAAGCTGCTTCAGAGCTGCTCTGCCATTCACAATGACAGAGATCCAGCACAGCAACTTTGCTTGCAAGGCTTTTGAAGCTGGAGCTACCGTGTTTCCCCGAAAATAAGACACTGTCTTATATTTTTTTTGGCTCAAAAAAAAAAACACACTAGGTCTTATTTTTGGGGTAGGTCTTATTTCTTATTATGTACAACAATCCGCACTTATTCATGTGGAAAAGTCTACATGTATTCATGTACAAAAATATAGTGATCAGGACAATCGGGTGCTGTACCTTTCCAAGAGCAATTTGGTAACCAATTGCTGGCCAGAATGAGCGAAGCGCGCTTTCACTATTGATTCCTCACAGGCGGAGTGCATGTGGTATCACTCCGCCTGTGACAGGAGCCGGCGCTATAGAGGAGGCAGCGGCTTAGGCAGCGGCTCTTCTCCCTCCACTGCCGCCTCGCTTCCTCTAGCATTGGCACCGCTGATTCTCTCCCACGGCTCTTCAAGTTCCACCTTATGCCACCACCGGCACTGGCAATGGTCACAATTAGGTCTTATTTTCGGGGTAGGTCTTCTATTTTAGCAATTCTACAAAAATAGTAGTAGGTCTGATTCAGCTAACCCCCATACCCAACAGCTCCAGGTAATTTGTACCAGCTGCAATGGAAGAAGGGAGAGGCAAATATAAGTGGGCTGGGACTCCCTGAATGGGACCTCCTGTTACAAAGACATAAGTAAGGGAAAACCCCCTCTTAGACAAATGTCACCGGAACAGGTGTTCCTATTGGACGATTTCCCCTCACCTTTTTCCGTAACAACCAGACCACTTTGTACTTCCCATCACTGTGTTTCGGTCATAACAGTCACCAAGGCAAACACATAGGGTCACTGTCCCCAACGTGGATAGAGCACTACAAACATGCTTTCAAAATCCTTTCCCGATCTATCCAATAAAACCTGGATTCATCCACCCTAAGCGGAGATATCAGGTATAAGCAGATTGAACATTTACATCAGAAGCTGATCACATATGTCCACATACTTCCAAATGATTCCCCAACCATCTCAGACAACAGGGGATCAAACCTCATCTTATAGTCTTTGATTCCCCCTGGACTAGAAGAAGAGATAAGCTCCCATCACCACATTTCCCAGGGAAGAACCAGTGGCCTTACCGAGGTGTGTCTCCGCAGAGTGGATTTATCAGTGAACGTCCGCTGACAAGCTATGCACATAAAAGGTTTCTCTCCGGTGTGAATGCGATTATGCCTCTGTAGTGCGTTTAGCTGCGTGAACTGCTTTCCACATTGATTGCAGCAATACGGGCGTTCTCCTGGAAGCAGAGGAATATATTACACAACATTAGAGCAAAGCACAGTCAGCAACCTCCTCTTCACACATTGGCATGTATGAACACACAACTGGATTAGACTTCCAGTGTCCAAGCCCCTATCCACAGATCCAATTTAGCAGGAACAGTTTGGTTCGGTTCATTTGACTGAAATGCCAATTGCACACCTAAATCATTCTTACATTTCTTTTTACAGCAGAACTTTAACAACAAAAAATTGCAAGTAGGAAGTTTTTCTTTAATTGTCGAAGAGACCTACTATGTCCCTTTTACAATACCAACGTCCTCACTGCCTGCTTGCACACTTCTTTACAAGGCACATGGGGCTGCTCATGGGAAAGTCAGTGTACATTCTTAGTGCCCTGATGAACTCCTGTGCACATGTGCAGAAGTTGGTCGTCCCAGGCCGGTCTGGTACCATGAACTCCTGTGCACATGTGCAGAAGTTGGTCGTCCCAGGCCAGTCTGGTACCATGAACTCCTGTGCACATGTGCATGTGGTCGTCCCAGGCCGGCCAGTCAAGATGGCTGAAGACGCCAGGAAGAGAAGATGTCGGGGCTGATGAGCGAACTTGTGGGCTTCTCATTGCTGGAACAGAGGTTAGTTTACTTCCACTTTGTGGACACAAAGGGATTTCACCTGTACACTGTTATTTACTGTTCAATAAAATAATTATAGGCGGATAAGTGGACGGAAATGTAACACATTGTGAATATCTTTCTCTAAATACTTTTAAACCAAATGATTAAACACACTGCCATTTCCAGGTCTCAGTGGCTTCTGTAAGCTGAAACCACTTACCTCACCTTGGAGACACTTCCTCTCACTTCCTGTAGGATCTACAGGAAAGGAAGTGAAAGAAAATCTCTCCAATGGGACAGAGAAGACAAGAAAAACATGACAATTAGTTAAACCATTCTCCAATTACGCTTTTTCGAATGTCGATTACATCACTTACAAAGGATGTTGCTATTTGATGTTTAAAATTTGTAGTTTCCTGCAGAATCAGCCCTGAGCACTGACCCTGATATCCTGTTTTAGAGTGGCTCCTTTCCCTTGCAGGGTCCTATGGAGGCTTCCTTGTGTGTGCTAGTAATCTGTATGTGTCTCCAGAAACACAGCGAGGCAAATCACTCCCCTCCTCCTTCTCTAATTGCTGGAGACTGCTGTGTCCCTTTTTATCTTGTACTGGTCAGGAAGTTCAGGAAAGCTGAGCTCTAGGAGTTGGAGCAGCTGTTGTCAAACATGATTACTATAAGTGCTTGGGCAAACTATAAAGAAATACCACGTATTTTGCTGAGAAATGTCTATTTGTTTAATATGGATTATTGAAGCAAAGTCTGAGAGTTTAATACTACTTTACATATGTCCAAGATGAGGGTTAAAGAGGAACCCCGGGAATGTAAAAGAAATAACCCTTGCAGTGGGACTACCCTCACACCGCAAGGGTTAAGTGCTGTTTTTGTTCTTGGGGCTCAAACAAAAAAAAAAAAATATTTATATACGCACTTGATCCTCAATCTCGCCCTGCCGTTAGAACGGTCCCCACAGCCTCTTCTCCCCTGGGCCCTGGCGGTCTAAGTCCCGCTGATGTCATCACGTCTAATTCAGTCCATTCACCTGTATTATATGTGAGGATGCCGAGGGACATATCACAGCCGGAGGGGGAGAGACGTGAGCACTAACCGCCACACAACCCGACGATCAGGTGACTACATACTTCTGTATTCAGCCCCTAGACAAAAACTAACAGTTAACCCCTACAGTGCTGAGGTAGCCCCAGTGCAAGGGTAGACGCATTATATTTCTGGAGTTCTTTAACAATACCGTTACAAAATACACTAAAACCTCTAGAACAGGAAATGAAACAAAGGAAGAAGCTCCATCTCTCTTTGCAGTGTTCCCGACAAAAAAAATAAAAAATAATCCAATATACATAGAAGTCTTACCAGTGTGAACTTTAATGTGCTGGTAGAGAGAATTCCTCTGAGCGAATGTTCGAAAACAGATGTCACATTTGAAGGGTTTGGCTCCAGTGTGAATACGGTTATGATGTTTTAAATATTCTTTTGAGGCAAAGCTTTTCCCACACGTTTCACACATAAACGGCCTCTCCCCTAAGAAGCAGAAAAGTGATAATCAACAACATAATTATAAGAAGTGGACGGTGATGGGAAAGGGAAGGCTGGCTCTGTATGAGAGTCCGAAAGGGAAGGCTGGCTCTGTGTGAGAGTCTGAAAGGGAAGGCTGGCTCTGTATGGGAGTCTGAAAGGGAAGGCTGGCTCTGTATGAGAGTTCGAAAGGGAAGGCTGGTGACTTTGAAAGATGGGAATGTTTAAATACGCAAGGGAGGCAAGAACTGATTGAATAAATCCGTTGGCTCAGTTATTGCCTCCCTTGCTTATTTACAGCTTCGGCAGAGGGGTGGTAGGACGTTTGAAACCGCTGAAGCCAACGCCTGTTGCACGCATTCAAACAAATGGCCTGATCTAAATAGCGGAGTACCTTGTCAAATGGAACACAGATGAGACGGGTTATAGTCTCTAGTGGGCTGTGCCTAATGTCTATTTCTCCTGTAAGCGGCATTAGAACCTTTGGTGACTTGATAAGTTGGTGAGTTGTGTTTATTGATGGATGATAAAGAAAGTAATACAAGTGCTCTGCTCTCCTACTTGCATACTTTAGAGCTCATTCCTTTCCACAAAATACAGAGGTACTTCCACTGACTCATAGCAACACCTTTATGACCTCTTACCTGTGTGGCAGCGTTTGTGATAAATGAGCATGTGGTTCTGGGTAAATCTGGCTCCACACTCCTCACAGGCAAATGGCTTTTCTCCAGTGTGAATTCTGGGGAAGAAAAACACGTTTCTTATTGTAAATTAAAGTAACTTTGCTAGAAATCTCCATTTCACGTTGGTCACTCAAGTACTAAACATCAATGCAGAAATACAAACACGCGGCTGTATTGGGGGCGACATCTTGAAGAGGAGGTGCCTATGGCAGATATTCAAGTTTGTTATCACAAAAATGTATGGGCTACACATCTGGGTTTTGTCTCAATTTTTAAATCCATTGTTATCGGTGTCTATGGTAGCATATTGTGTACCCACACTCCGTTAAAAAATGACTGGCTCCTAGACTGGACTGACTGTGTCCTGGATTGAGTGCATTTGTCCAGGGCAGGTTTACACCATTTTCTGGGCCAGATCTTCAACGCAGTGCATTGCGATTTTGCCGTGTTTGGAATTTTTTGCTTGCTTAAAATGGTCCTACAGGTGCGTTCCAGTGCGTTTGTATGCGCTTTTATGCGTTCCAGTGCATTCCAGGCCAGACAAAATAGGACAAGTAGTATTTTTCTGGTCTGGAACAGACTGCGCTGGTGTAATACAGAGGCCAGAAATAGCATAGGGATACATTAGGATGGATTTTGGGTCCGGGAACAATCTTGCCTGGTCTGGAGATGATCCAGACATGGTGTGAATGGGCCTAAAGAGAAGGAACACAATCCTCCTCGCCATAAGTGTACCTCTCATAATTCGGGATGTGGCTGTGTTCAGAATTAACCAATCACATTCAAACTGATATTCTATAGTGGTCAGTACACACCTGCCATCAATGAACGTGACTGATTAGTCCCATATACAGTAAAGTTCAGCTGTTCCAGTTGGATTTTTCTGACGTTGCCTCTTAAGGTGCCCACACACCTTGCGATAATCCTACGATAATCGCGGGAAATCCCGCGATCGTACGATTATCGCAAGGTGTGTGGAAGGCGTGCTACCGTTTTTACTGTACGGTTGCACGTCTTTTGTCGAACCAGCATGCTCGAAAACCCGCCGAGAATCGTATGATTTCTAGCCTGCTCGTACAACAACTGCGGAACGGGCCGGTGTGCGCGCGCACACACTGCCCGTTCAGCATTGCGATCGTCGGAAGCCCGCCCCTCAGCAGGGCGGGCTTTCGATGATCACAAGTACGATCTGCCCGTCCAAGGTGGGCAGATCGTACGAGCTTTTAATAAGCTTACGACCATCGCAAGACAAAAGTCTTGCGATGGTCGTAAGGCGTATGGGCACCTTTACAGCAAAAGCCATGGTCTGCAAAGAGCTTGCAACAGCACAATGACATTACCAAGAACTGGACGTTCCTCCAATATTGATGAACAATCAAGAAGAAACCTGGTCCGGGAGGCTGCCAAGAGGCCAACAGCAACAATAAAGGAGGTGCAGGAATTTCTGGCAAGTACTGCTTGTGTTCTACATACAGTGTGTGTGGGCTGTGGAATATGGTGGCATGACGGAAGGTAGGGAGGGTGTGTGTGTGTGTTTTTTTACCAAGTGTAACACTATCAGGGATATTCACAGAAGAGTTTGGAGAAGGCAGGAGAAATGAACAATATAGGACATCATAGCTGAACTGGAAAGTGAGCTGAATTGGAGAATTTACACAGTTTAGCTATGTTGTCCTAGATTGTTCATTTTTCCTGTCTTCCCCACACGCTTCACCCTTTTGGAATAACCCTGTAATAGCAGAGCACGAAAATGACTCAATGAAATGCATTATTGCGTCTTTGTTATCCAGACATCATGCTGGGGCAGGTTTTTTGACCACGCTGTACTGGTTAGCTAAGTCTATGTGGTCTAGTAAGGATGCCTGAATCACAAGACTAGCTGAAATGAGCTCCAAATCAGCAAGTTTACTTTCCATCACTTACATTTTGGCTCGTTGCAGCAATGTAGCCATTGCCAGTAGCTGTCTAGGGATAAATGGTTGATGAAATCTTACATAGAATCATTTGCCCATTACAATATCTACTAATAGGAAGAATGGCGGTTCACACTCTTGCTTTGCAGTGCTGGGTTCAGTTCCCTCCAGTTGGATCGGGTTTGTATGATCTCCCAACTCTTACAAGGTCCACAATTGAGCTGTCATTGCTGGTGCTGCCCTAATTTCAGCTTAACCCCCAAGGAATAATTAGCCACTGATTCGAAAATCTAGCCCTGCTGACACACCTCGCCTTTCCCCCCCAGGTGGGTATCTGGTACCCAAAGGTGCCAATAGACAAATCACTCAATCCAATCAAACATGTATTGAGAGATGATTGTCCAAACATCTGTAGACACTTAAAGGAGAACTATGGGGTCAGTGTTTTTCCCCATAGTTCTCCTTCGGGTAACGGGAGGACTCAAACTAGCGTCCTCCCGTTACTCTAAGCTCAGTATACCGCGAGCTACAGCTCGCGGTATACTGAGACGCCGCAGCCGGAGCGGATCCCGACATGGACGTCGAGATCCGCCCAGCTGCGTGAGTGACAGCTGGCTCTGCCCCCTCCCCCGTCCGTTCCGCCAGTCAGCGCTGGCAGATCGGAGCGGGGAGAGGGGAATCCAGCCCTTCCCCCTGTCACGGCAGAGAGCCGTGACAGGATCGAGAGGTGAGCGAACCCGGTATGTGTTCGCTCACCTCCCGATCTACTGAGCCGACCTGTGACAGTCTCATTGTCACAGGTCGGCTCGCACTATGAGGGGAGTGGAAATCACTCATCTCATAGTTCTCCTTTAAAGGGTGTGTGTACATGATCAAATAAATCGTTATTAGAATATTAGATGTTTGACTCCTGTGACAGAAACACAACATTCCAGAGTTGGGACTCCCGCATTGATATATCTTTTGACACAGGTCTTCTATGCAGAATATCCTAGTACCGGAAAGGTAAAAATGCTAACAAGGGGTTACATTTACATAAGAGGATTACTGTCGGGGGGGGGGGGGGGGGGGGGCGGCG